AGGACCGCGAATCTGGCAAGCGCTCCTGGAAAAGAAGTGAGAGACACACACATATATATATATGCATACTATAATAGAGAATTTTCAAGAATCTGAAGTTGGTACGAGACGTTGCGACTTGTGATGGGTTCTGTGTCAGTTCTGGGAACGCGGCTCCGTCTTTGCACAACCTGTTGGTCCAGAGCTTCGGAGCCCTCGGGGTTGGGTGGTCATGGGTGAGCCAAGGCATGGGTCTTTGCTTCAACATCTTCATTCTGAGCCACCTGGGCTGGGAGGCAAGCTCGGGGTTCATGCTTCTTGAACGCATGAAGTGTGTTTTTGTTTTAGCGGGAGGCGCCGTCGGAAGAATTAAAGCAACACTGCAAAACAGTGACAATAAGTAGATTCGGACATGGCTGTGCTCGCACCGGACGTCCGGTGTTAGATGCATGTGGCCTCTACGTAGTTCATGGAACCATGAGATGGCAGTGGCTTAGCTTGGGGCAGTGGGAATGCGGCCCGGCGGGATCCAAGAATGCAGTGCCTGCAGCTGCTCAAAACCTCATCGTGCGACTAAGGCAAGGCTTCGTTTTGGAGTACATGCTGAGTGCCCCAGCTGAAGCTCCCAGCTTCTGGGGGCGGGGCTTCTAGGGCTCAGCACGCGCATCATGAATTATATCACTACATCAAGCTGACAGTGGGGTGGCGTTCAGCTGCCCACAGCATAACCGGCCCCTTCTCTGGCGTAACTACCGCATTTGGCGACACAAACAGGTCCATGTCAGATTCATTAGTTTTGCAACAGATGCACGGGATGCATCCCTGGCAAAAGGTTTGCTTTTCACCATCATCCACTGCGTCCACACACACATGTCCAAACCATCACTAATGGCAGAAGACATCCGAAATCGTGTGCCACCCAGAAGCCTGAAGAAGCCTGAAGCCATCAAGACCAACGCAAAATACATGTATATAAATACTGCAAATGTCTTGGTGCATCAAGAGTAGGAAGCAGTTCTAGGGATGCTTGGGGAGCAGCCCAACGCTCGATTGATTGCTGATGTTTTGAGATTTCATCATGGCTGATGATTTGAGGTCACGCTTTATGTGTTGAGTGCCACTCCACTGGCTGTCTTTAAACAATGGTTGGTGTGGCCCACTATGCACCCTAAACACTTGAGATTGTTTGTTCCTTGCACAGCGGTTAATGAGGAAGTTGGAGATAGTCGGTGTATAGCATGCTTCAGGGATGTTCAGGTTACATGACGTTTAGGTCTAGGTATGTATCAGGGTCCTGAAAACCCATGTCGGCAGATAGGTCCACGACGATCTGTGATGCGTGTATGGATTGATTGATTCGTCACATGAACGGGTGCAGTGCAGTGCTTCAGGGGGGGGTCCGTATACTTCAATTGAACCCTCCCAAGCTTTCCACTACATAATTTTGAACCCTTGGCAAACCGCTGCATCGACCAGTGCGTGTTGCTGGCGCTTCCCCCACAGCTGATCCGGTCGTAGCTGAGGCTTCGACAATTTATTCGTTTTCCATTTGATTTTTGCCTACTACTGTACTCCAGAGGAACCTCGGCTGCAGCGTGCGCAGGCGTGTGACCCCCAGGTATACCTCACAAAGTGCCTAAAATGTGGTCAATATTGATTCGGTGGACCCCGTATGATTGTTACCTGGCGTATGTGCCACAATATGTGCGCAGTACTGTCAATATTCTTGTGCGTCACACCTGGGAATTAGCAAGGCACAAACAACATCCCAGGTCTACCACAAAAATCAACAACATGTTTAATTTGGCAGGTTTTGCATCACACAGTAGAAGAGACGAAGGAGATCTTAAATTGGATCTTGAGATCTGAAAAAGAAAGACCGTGCAGGTTTTTGGAGTTTAACGATGTTCAAGCAAATTCTTCACAATACAGTCATTATAGTTCCAAAAGAAACAATGTATCGTGCAATAATGCGGCAATATTCCTGGCACCCCCGGGGTATGGCTCTTGTGTAAAGCACGGAATGTCATGGGCAGCTGCGGGGGGTCGAGTCTTGAGCTTCCATAGACGCTCAAATCGAGTCAATCGCTCCCCACCTGCCGAGTGAGGATTGTTAGAGATTTTATCAGAGATGCCCGCTCCTCCTTCTCATCCTCATCCTCCTCGGCGGTCCTCCTCAATCGTGATTGCTAGATCACAGTGCGAGCGCTAGATCACAGTGGGCACCACCGGACCTCAACCGCGAGCGCTAGATCGGAGTGGGTACCACCGGACCTGAATTGCGAGCGCCAGATAGCAATGGGCACCACCGTTTATGAACCAGATAGAATTACATAGAATACCAGAAAGAATGTCAGCAGTTATGGTAATTCTGCGGGATAGAATCCAGATGTTATGCATCATAGAATGCCAGAACAATTGGGCCTGCCTTGGGAAACTGTTTCACGGTGGGGTGACTTAGTGAAACATTTCTCCAAACAGCTTACTGTTAGGGGCTCTCAAATCTTTCTTAAGATGTGTCCGCCCTTTCTGTCACTGCTGGTGTCCGCCCTGTTCCGCTGGCCATGCAGCATTTCTATTCTTAATTATTTCTTAATAAGATGTGTCCGCCCTTTCTGTCACTGCTGGTGTCCGCCCTTTTCCGCTGGCCATGCACCATTTCTATTCATTTGTCTCCCAGGTGACTTCTTTACTTTGGTCTCCCAGGTTCGGTGCCTGCTCTGCTGGTGTCCGCCCCTTTCGGCTGGCCATGCGGCATGTTGTATTCATTTGTCTCCCACGTGATTTCTGTACTTTGTCTCCCAGGTTCGGTGCCTGCACTACTGGTGTCCGCCCTTTTCCGCTGGCCATGCAGCATATCTATTCATTTGTCTCCCAGGTTCGGTGACTGCACTGCTGGTGTCCGCCCTGTTCCGCTGGCCAAGCAGCATTTTGTATTCATTTGTCTCCCAGGTGATTTCTTTACTTTTGTCTCGCAGGTTCGGTGCCTGCACTGCTGGTGTCCGCCCTTTTCCGCTGGCCATGCAGCATTTCTATTCATTTGTCTTTGAGGTGGTTTCTTTACTTTTGTCAGGTATAGATACTAGTTGAGAACTCTTTGCTTTTGCTATCCAGCATGTGCCGGTATTGCGCAGGAGCTACGATTCTGGAATTAGTTTGGATGACTTTGAGTGCCTCCGACGCTAGCCTTGCCCTTTTTTTTGCATTCGTCTCCATGGCGGATGCGCTGACTGGAGCTGCAGGATTGAGGGACTGCGCAGTGGCGAAAGATGACAATGTTAATGCTTTCAGTTTCATTAATTTTTGCATTGTTTCTAATTAGCCGCTTGATGACAATCAAAGTTCAGAAGCAGAATGCAATTGGATCGAATTTGCAGGTGTTTAAAAAGCAGACCGGTCCAATATAGGTTTGCGGCTCAAAGTGTGGCACGGCAGTGTCTACGAATTTGAATCTGTGGGTTCATGGGTGTGTAGGCACGAACTTGTGGTTGACCAGCCGCAAACAGAGTCGTCCAATTTACAGAAGAAATGCAAGAGCCGCTCAATACCAGTTCTTGATGTAGATCTAGATCAGCCAGTGAGTTTGTTGATACTTGCGAAAAGAAAGGCAAATCATTGGACCGGTATAACAAGTACAAATGTGCAAAGAGGATCAGGGAAGCTCGCAGTCCGGGAGCCTCATCAGTCAACATCCGTTTTGAGCACTATCAAGAATTCATGGTGCTCACGGACAAGGACCATACACCGGGTGCAATTCCGGAGTTGCAGCAGGAAATGCCCGACCATATTGTCGAGGCTTCGGTCTTGGGTGAGGCCGAGGCTTTTTCAGCTTTGCCCATTGAAAACGTGCCGTCCAACAACTTGAAGCCAGAGTCAGTTGCTGCAATGGGGGCTGAGATTGCAACGCAAACAGCGGAGGGCGTGATGGATCATCTTTCACTTGGTGCCATGGAAGCAAAGTCCACATGCAGAGACACTGCAGCTCAGACTCAGCAAGTAGTGCTGGAGGAAGAGTTGGCTGACCTCACACACGAAACTTATTTCCTGAGAGAAAATTCAAGACGGAATCGTATGTCCTACAATCCTGTGGGCGGGGAACCCAAGCCACGGCAGCCAGCATAGCAGGCCTCTAACACCTGGTGGTCTGGAAGATAAGTCTAGATGCAGAAACATTGCGGTTCAGACTCAGCCGACAGTGCTTGAGAATGGGCTGGCTGACCTCACACACGAGAACCTATTTTCGTAGATAAATTCTCAGACGGAATCCCACTTCGTACGATCCTCTGTGTTAGAAAATCAAAGCAGGGTTCCAAGAGACGGCAAGTGTTGATTCCAGGGCCTTGTAGGCGCTGGAGTAGGTGCTTTGTGTACGCTTGCTCTCCTGCCTCTGCTGGTTGACTGCTTTGAGTGGCGCTTGAGCCCAGTCATTGACTTTCTCGTGTGATGCTCTTGTTCCTGTGAACATGCAAACAAACCAAAACAACTTTTCCTCACTCAGAACGTTGATCGCAAGTGAGGCGCCACCATGCAAACTAGTGTTTCGCTGAATGAACTGGGTACTCACTCAGCTGCCATGTGCCAATGGAGCGAGTGCATTCACTGCCCACGAGTTCATGAATTTCCTGTACAGAATGGGGAGCCTGGGGTGCAGGAAAGCCAAATTTTTTATACATTGTTTGTGCTCGATAAAATGAAATTTGTTTATCCCGGGCCATTTTCAGAGCCATGTTAGGTTTTTGAATAATGTTTGGCCTTGCTTGGGTGAACCATTCTATAGATGATTTTTGTTGTCCTCCAAGAGCATGCAAATTTTCGCAGGTCCCCATTGTATAGAGGATTCATTTTTTCGGACCTGAGGCGGCAGACATTCGGGAAATGTCAGAATCTGGAATCGGTTCGGAATGTACAAAGATTTTGGCAATGTAGAGAAAATGGGAAAGAGGTATTGTTTTTTCAACAAAGCCAGTAAAAGCAATGATGCACGCCACGCCACTCAATACTTTCAGGTAGGGCCGTGGGGCCATGTTCTGCCCAGTCCTCTCGGTCTGCTTGGCTGCGACTTCTCACCGCCCAGGTCTTTTTCGGAACTTCACGTCGTCCTTTTCCATCGACATTTCCTTGATCTCCTCATTCCACCGGACGCCATTGTTGAACATCACATAAAGCAATATAGACTATAGAACAAAATATGCAAACTTGTTGTTCTCTTTTCAGAGCACGTTTATCCCCTTAATCTCTATAAAATGGAGGGCATTGCTTGGATTTGCTAAGTCTATATATAAAATGGTTGTGCACAGCTCTACTTACATGGTCCTAGAATGTCCTAGACCATGTTATTCAAAGCTGTAATGCCTACAAGATATTGTAGGGGAGTTTAGGATAGTTTAGAGTGTTCTAGGGGTATTTTGGGGAAAATCATGTTTGGAAAGATACGAGCAATTTGGATCATCAAGGAACATCCATGGAAGTTCCTTTTCAAAGACATACATTTGTGTGCAGCCCTCATGGAGCCTATTTTTTAGAGGGTGTGTTGAGGAAATTTGAGGGATCTCCACTTTATAGAGATTTACACAGCGGCATACAGAGACACTATTCGATTGTTTTGGAATTCCTTAGGTCCTTTTTTAAACATAAACTCTTAAAGTAGAAAACAGCTTGTCTTTTCAGAGTATGTTTGTCCCGTCAAATCTCTATAAACTGGCGAGCTTCTCTTGGATTTGCTATTTGCAGTCTATAAAATGGGTGTACACAGCTCTACTTACATGGTCCTAGAACTCTAGAATGTCCTAGAACATTTTATCCAAAGCTGTATATAATCCGGACAGGATCTTCTAGGGATTTCTTGGGGAGTCTAGGATTGTTTAGGGGGTATCTGGCATCTGGGAACATCTCAAAGATAGGAACGATTTTGGAGAATCAAGGGAAATCCATGGAAGTCCAATTTCAATACATATAGCAGTATGCTCCAGTAAAAGCGAGGAAGTTGGTGGATCAATTACGTACTTCTAAGTTCTGGAGAGAATAGCTCTTGGCCGGTGTGCAATCCTGTCGGAACCTTTCTCTTGCAGGTGGGGCAACAACCCTGGCTGGCCAGCAGCTTTGCACTTGCTGGCGGCCATGGAAACGGGAGTGTGCTATTATGGAGCGGAGAAACCACGAAACAGCAAGGTGGTCCGGTGGCTGCTAAACGCAGCCCCGACCAAGACCTCAGCGTTTTCAAGGCTACAACTCCTCCTCACTCCCTCCAAGCACACTCCCATGCCGCCGAACATGCGCTGCACCTTTGCCGCCACGGTGTTGAATGCGTGCAGCATTGATGCCAGCGACGGTCAATCCGAAGTATCCTTGGACTACGCTGTGACTTAGCTCAAGCATTACGAAATACGTGGTATGGTGCATGATTGTTATCAGCTACTCTTGGTGTCCGGTTTTTTTCCCCTAGCTGCAAGCTATTTGTAAGCGTCCGAACTTCTCAATGGCGTGGCTCTGGATTGGCGTTTCGTGCCAGGGACAATATCCGCTGATATTGCGCCTCACAAATTGATGCATGTAAGTATTGCCTTGTGGTCTGCATTTTTTCCTTTGTGGCTGACATGGCGTCATGCCAGGGGCGACATCGTATCATGTGTAGAAGAGAGAGAGAGAGAGAGGGCCTCAAGACTCAGCCAAACTAAGCGCTTAGGAGCCCAAACCCTTAGCCCTCATGGGGAAATGTGTTGAGGACATTTGGGGATTTTGTGGGTCCTTCTTCAAATACACTCTTAAGGTGGAAAACAAGTTGTTCTATTTTGTTCCAGAGGTTAAACCTCTATAAAATGGCGCCCTTCAAAAGCTAAGGGCCATTGATTTTTCTCGGTGGAAAATTTGCAGAAATGATCAAGTCACTTGCCTGGGTGAACCATTCTATAGACGTTTTTTAGAGGGCCTTGTAGAAATAAACCATTGTCAAAATCTAATGGTGGGGGTCCACCATTCTATATGTACATGTGCTTTTGTGGCGTGTGCCCTGGTGAATGCGTTTTATAGAGGGCGCGCCCCCCTGAAAAATTGAAAACACAAATTATAGCTACAGAATGGGGACCCCCAGGGTTGAGGTTGAATTCCAAGGAGGATTAGTTGAGTAGAAAATGTTACAAGATGTTGCATCTCTTGCAATGTCCACTAGGTAGGGCTGATTCCCTCTGGCCAGTTAGCGTTTGCGTGTGGTAGTATGTGGTATTTCTGGACGCTTGTTTGCATTTTTTTTTGGTCTGTCAGAAGTCTGATGACCTTTGTATCATTTTGCCAGTTTGTGTGTGTGTGTGAGCCCGTGCGCCCATTGTATGACTGATGTGGGTGCTACAATGAAAGCGCGGGTGGCTGGAGGAAAGCAGAGTTTAGAAAGGATTCCACAGATATACAGAACACTCAAAGTGGAGTGAAAGAAAAGGCGCGAGAGGTTGTGAGAGTTGCTTCCGTTTAGATGTCACAGTCATGTCCGATTTGTTGTGTTTCTGCGTGGTTTTGTCCTCCTTGGAATTCAGCCTCTATAAAACGGGTCCCTTCCAAGGCTAAACACATTGATTTTGCTTGATACAAATTTGGCAAAACTCGTGACTTTACCCTGGTGAAGCATTCTATAGACTGTTGTTTTGATGCCCTGTAGAAATAGACAATTGTCAAAACCTACCCTGGGGGTCACCATTCTATATACATGTGTTTTTGCGGCGTGTGCCCTGGTGAATTCATTTTATAGAGGGTGCGCCCCTCTGAAAAATTGAAAAACACAAATTATAGCATATTATAGCTATAGAATGGGGACCCCAGGGTTGAGGTTGAATTCGAAGCAGGATCCTATGTTTGGAATGGCGAGCGTCAAGTCAGCCAAGTGTTTCGATGTGTGCCGACTTCTGCGCGCGACAGCTCACTGTATGCGGTGGGAGAGGTGCGGAATGACAAGAGAAAACCAAATAGCCTCCAGAACAGCAAGAAGATTTTTCTTGACAAAAAGCTCTTCAACATGAGCAAAGTCAGTCTGAAGTCAGAGGTGCAAAAGAAATACGAGCACTCCCCGTTCTTTGGATGAGCCAGCAAGTTAACACGAATCTGTTATGAACAGCTTGTTGGACAAAGATGTGCTCATCTTGCAGCGCGCAAAGCACGACTATGCCACTTGACCCATAGGTTGAAACTCGTGGTGGGCTTGACGAAGACGAAGTTTGCCAGAAATGTTTCCAGTAAAAGTGCCCTTGTATATGCCATGTATGCAAGATGAACACTTTCTTGGTATTTCTTGGAGGTGACTCGGCCATGCTGGGGATCACTCGATGTAAAGTATTTTGGCCTGGGGGCCCGCGAGGAGTGACACTCTACGGATCACTGGGGGAAAGACGGCCTGCTCCGGCGATTTTGCGGGTCACGTCCCTTTGGAACGCGAAGCTTGTTAGATCCCAAACAGTCCAGGGGACTGGCATATTTGATGTAGGTATGTAGGTATATATTCCTATCCCATGGATGGGGTCTGGTCACATGGTCCTGATGCCCACAGGTGGATAGACGTTGGATTTCTTGATAGTTTTGGTCAAGTGATAGTGTGAAGATCCTGGTTCCATGCGCTCGGAACCAAAGGCTGTCGGGCAGTCGGAATAGTGCATGATGAGCTTCAAAATTTCCCAGCTGGGAGTCGGAAATTCTGGGTTGATCACGGCTGATCACGTTGAGTTTCCCACTGTTGAGACGTCGGATGCGTTTCTTTTCCCATTGCCAACGAGGTCTAAAGGAGCCTTCCCAACCGACGATTTCAGCGTCCAAGATCGGCACAGTTGAGATTAGTTTTGGTGATGCATCGCAATCAATAATGCATCAGCACCCGGTCATATTACAGTGTATGGGGATGGGTCAAAACCCGAAACACCTAATCCCCGTTATGTTGACCTTCCAGGTTAGTCAACCAAGGTCTCTTGGTTCCGACCCACAACCATAAAATCCAAATCAATCACTGAATTTTGCAAATGTTCAGCTGAAGGCACTGGTTTATCGTGCTCTCTACTTCGGCATTGTGGGGGCAATCGCCTTCCGCGACACAGTCGCAAGGGAGCACGCGCGCGTGACAACTGGTGGTAGTGCTGCCCTTCCAAATCCAAGACATCCCAAACCCATGCTACATGGGAGTTCTCCTCCCCTCACTTATGACTGTTCTGTCCAGCCTGGGTCATGAACGATTGCATGATTTTTAACTCCTGGCCACAAGCCACACAAACAGGCATTCTAATGTGTATTTCAGGTCCTTAAAGATGGAAGTGAATAGTTCGCCCCTGACCAGCTGCATTCATGGCCGGATCCATGTACGGATGTGCATCTACAAACATGTTTTGGCGCACAACAGTTCCAAGAAAGTACTCGCGCAGTTGTCCCAACCCGAGTTGGTCTGATTATTTAGGTTTAACATGGTTTAATGGCTTATATAATTGCTTTTCGGTAGACCCCCCAGAACCGCGGAATGTCGTCACCAGTTTGGACTTTGTAGTTTTTTAGCCTGCGACCACTTACGAAAAGTGTTCCAAGCACAGAAAGAAGATCGGTCACTCAGCGTGAGGTGTTCTTCTGATTACATTGGGTTACTCTCTGGTGAATACCGGGGTTTTTTTTGGTCAAGTTCGGCTTCGGCGCTTTGCTCATCTACAGCGGCTGGAAGATGCTTGGCATGGATGCGTGCTGTGTTGCTCCAACCTCATCGAAACTCAGTCTACACGTGCCAATGGGGGTACGAGACTCAGCCACACCAGAGTCATTTGTGGTGATTGAGCAGCCGCAAAGATGACGCCGGTGATTAAAGAACCAGTGTGGCTTGCATTATGTGGATACGATGTTGGAACCCAGGCACTTTCAATGCTGTAGATTGTAGCCGTTGCTTGTTGATGCCATCATGTGATTGGCAGCTGAAAGTGATAAGTTCATGGTGCATTGAGCTAGTTGGAGGCTCACAAAGAAGGTCCATACCAAGTGCGGGTGTCAAGCCTCATGGTAGTTTTGTTTCGTTCATGACGACGTGAAAACATGCGTGGCTGAAGCCTGGAGAAATTCTCTTGAAATTGCGGACGAAAGTGTAGATGTGCACAAACATATAGAGATGAGTAGAGATGAGATGAGATACGATACGATACCATACGATACCATACGATACCATACGATACCATACGATACCATACGATACCATACAATACCATACAATACCATACATACATACATACATGTGTGTGTGTGTGTTTGTGCAAATGCAGTCTCCCTTGGAACCACTTTAGCCGCTGCATGTTCATGCATGTTCAGTTTTGAATCGCATTGCGCTGAGTATATTATGTATATTTCACATATTATTGTTTAGTTCTTGTGCCTCGGGGGGAGGCATGGGTTTTCCTTGGGCACCATGTCCAACCCAACGTCCTGATTGTACAGGAAGTGAGGGCTGATCACTCGCACACACAAGGTGTTCCGTTGTTACAGGTCGGTTTCAGGTCGTATTACTCAGGAGCCTAAAGGCCTTCAAAGTGACTTCTTGAAAAATGTTGTCGGCTAGTGACCAGTGCGGCACCGCATTCGACTAGTGGCTAGTGCGACTACTACTATGCACGTTGATGGATTTGATGCGCTTGAGACATCTCGGTTAAAACTACACTTTAGGAGCCTACCACATGTTTCCAAATAAGCTGTAATTCACTCTACAACATATTTGGTCACACATGTTCATTCAAGATCTGAGTCCTATATACATGCACGGACTTCATTTCTTCCTGAGAATGATTCCATTTTGGGGTCATGATGCATTCGCGGAACCAGAGGGCGGTTGCACGCTGTGGATGTTCCCAAACCTGTGAGGACAGCAGCGGATGAAGAGGAAGACCAAGATCCCAGTAAAAATCAGTTTATCGCGATGGTGACCAAAGTCTTGCCAATCAGTACCTTAGCTGATTGAGAGACGGCAGTGAGTGAGTTGAGATTGACGTGGGAATGAAGCCGCGACTGATGCAGAAGAAGTTTGAGTGACTCGAGCCTACGTCAAATCTCCCCGCCGATGTGCAAGAGGAAAACGTCCATTTCCGTCCAAAACCTGGTGCTGCTAGAGAGCCCAAGGTTTCTGGGTATGTTTGCCAACTCCGATTCAGAAATCAGTGCAGACTGGCCATGCTGCAGTTGCACGTAGAAATTATTTACACAAAAAAGAAATTTGTTGGCGACCATAGACACAAATGTTGGAGGCGCTGTGAAACTTGAAGCATGTTCAAGCAGTTTTGCAATTCTTTCCCATGCCACACGGCCCCCAGAAATCTGTCATTCGGACAGAACGGGGTTGATGAAGGCAAACTCTTCGTTCCTAACGCCAACACCACTGGCCATGCGCTACCCGAGCAATCTCCAACCCCACTGGCACAACCCAAACCATGTATGGCATATATGCAACCCAAATGTACGTAGATATGCCATATACCGAGGTTTTTTGGGCAAGGGCAAGAAGATACACCCAGGAAGATTTACATGTATCCTGAACATGGACCTTTCGAAGACGATTTTCCTCTACAACCCAGTGGTTTTCAGGTTCCAAGTGGGTCTTTTCCCGGGAAGGTTGGCCAAAACACCTGCGGGTGATTGGCTGCCAACGCCGGTTTTGGCACATCGCGTTCGCATCGCGCCACGAGGTGACCACTACGAGCCCGGAGGTAATTTCTTCCTCGACGAGGAGCGGAGTGGAACCGACGGTTGTGATAAAGAGAGCCTCAAAGGGGAAGTATATATATAACTATATATATGATATGACTACAGTAGGTAATATACATATAGAACTATATGATTATATATATAGGTGCAGAAATCAAATTCAATCAGGGCCATGGTTACTTCATTGATTGTCTTAATGATGATGTTGTTTGGCGCTTGTGTTTAAACTGAATTTGGCTTGCTGAGTCCCTAGCGGATCCAGTCGCCTTGGCGCTTCCTGCTCCCTGCCTTACCGCACATTGCCATTGGCATCACCACTCGAGGTCCCGTCTTTGTCACCACATTGTCACATGGTCATCATCTATCTATCATTGTTATATATATATATATTAGATGTTCATCGAGCAACCATTTAAGAGCAAGGGTCAAAACCTGTGGAGTCATGAGATGAAAGAGTTGCGTGATGTTTGGTTCCTTCGCGTGCACCTTGCTCACTGGGTCGCAGAAGCTCGCGTAAGCCATTCGATAACACATGTTGCAAAGTCTGAACTCATTCTTGCAATAGTTGAAAAAATATTGGAGAAGACCCGCGCGTATGTCGAAGTGTTTTCCACTTCCCATTGTACTGTAAGCTCACACCTGAGGCACATCGGCGTTGCGTATTCAAATGGTTCACAATGCGAGGTTGACCGCACCTCCGAATCCCGGGAGGACACCAAGCCACGGGAAGAAGATTTTTGGCGCCTGGGGTAGAACATGCTACAAAAACTGGTGAAGACTGGTGAAGATAAAAACACATGGTGCAATGGTGCACGCTGTTTTTGAAGCATGCCAGCCATGTCCCCATGTGATGGCCATGTCCCCATGTGATGGTCATGCCTTCTGATCGATCCTTGTTAGGCCTCTTTCTGGATCCTCAAGGCTGTTACGCTTTTGGAGGGCTGACATGCTTTAAAAACCATCTTGAAACCCAAAGAACTTCTCCGCCGTGTGTTGATCTCGCAGGAGCGGGACCAGCGGGACGATGTGGAGCTCTTCGATCGCGCGCGGCAGATCGATGCACGAGACCGAAGAGAGTCCTTGGATGGTCTGTGGCTGGGATTGATTTTCATGGCTGGGACTGGGGGATGATTTCAAGTGTCACAGGATGATTGGATGATTGGGGTTGGAAACCGGTGATCTGCACACAGGATGTTAGGCTGGGATGATATTTTCGATGCTCTGTGGGCCCATGTTGGTCCCCAAATCATCAAACATTGCTTGGTCATTGGCTTCAGCTGGAGGGTCAACCATTTCAATCTCGGTGTTGCTTGGGAACACATGGAGAGGGGGATCGCGCGTGTTGGGTCCCTTGAAGCTTGTGTCCCCCCAAAAGTGTTCAGCTTGTGGGAGCCTCCAGGAGTCATTGGAGGACTAGTGACTAGCGACAATATGTGAAAATGGTTTCAAAATGTATATAGCATTAGGTAGCTGCTGATGATGAAGCAAGCACAAGGACGAACCCACATAAGTCCATGGAATCAGATAAATTCCACATAAGTTCTCTAATTGACATGAACCTCTTGGACGGCCAACCACTTGCGTCATGATCAACCATGCCGGCCCGTCCAACCCAGATTGAGCACGCAGTCCATCGACTCAGCCGCCTGGGCATCCAAGTCAGTGCAGTCCTCGTGGAGAGGCACGAGTGGATGGTTTGGGGTCCTACTAACCCCAAACGCATCCCTATGATTCCCTACAGTGGTCCCCAAACAGATAGAAAACTACTGTAGATCCCCACTACAAATGGGGTGGAAACCGTTGGACCCCTTGGATTGGATAATGAAGACTCAGTTGTAGACTCTTGATTAAAAAGCCATCCCATTTGGATGCACGCACTCGCGGTCCTTCGCACCCACCAACTGCCCCTTGTTCACTGGTGGAACGGGTACAGGTGGGTAGTAGTCCATGTGTGAAACGTGTGAAAAAACTCCTTGCCAAAAGGAAACGACATGGTAATATGTACAAACGAACGAAAACAGCATTGCAAGGCCGGAGTCGGGCAAACTACGTATCACAATTGCATTCAAGCAACCTCTTCATGTGGGGTATTATTGATCAAGAGCCTACATTAACCCCAAACAGTGCGTGCCCCAAACCTATCCCTATAGTTGCCCAGGACAAGTGGATTACCTGCAAGACCTTTTTGGGGTGAACGGAGGGCAGGCGGAACTCATAGTGCGAACAGGTGGAAAGTTTGCTTTGCTTCAACTTGATGTTCAACAGAAACGGCTCGGGAGTTAGCATCCCGGGAATGGCTCGGGAATTTGCTTAGCATTCAGAAGATGTTTGGTTCCTTGGTCCCTTGGGCCTGTCGTCCCCTGGTCTCAGACACCTACATTCTCTCCTCCTCCTCCTCCTCCTCATCATCATCATCATCATCATCATACTCATCGTCGTCGTCAGACATCGCAATATCAACATCACACACACGCACATCGTTACACATCACACCTCACACCATCCCACCACGCCATCACCGCGTTTGTCATCGTACTTGATATGGTTCTTCCCATTTCTACGCCCCCTTTGTTGAGCGCCCCAGAGCGCCAATTCCAGCCTTATCAATGTGTTGTTAATGTTTGCCGGTCTCCTATAAAGGTTTCCTGTGATTGCTATAGCATGTTTTACACAGTTGTTGATTCCTGACCCATCCAACGCTGACCCCAAAATCAACCACCCCAACTGATCAGAAATTATGCTATTCCAATGGGATTGTTTGGGAATAAGATCTGGTAACTGGTAATGGAGCAGGCAGAGGTGGCATTGGGAAGAAGAAAGTCTTTCAGATAGACAAAAGGCACGGAAGCACATACCTTTGCCAGTGTAGCAGATGGGTCTTGGATGGTGACATTCAGCTCGGCAAAAGTGGAGACCTTTCCTGTCACCGCCATGGTCAACCTAATCTCCACCTTGAGAACCCCCAAAAACAACAGCAACGGTGGAACAGCGTGCCTCAAAACAAGACGACCAGCTTAAAACGGTGAACCCTCTCGTAGATCATTCGTCCACCTCAACCCGCCCCAGAAAAATGAATTACAAGGAATCAGAACGATCTTCCATCATGTTGACCCATCTCAGGACAACGCTGGGGCCAATCTGCCGCGCTTGGAATCCTTCGAAGGCAGCAGCCTTTTGGAGCCCGGCGGCGCTGTCGTCCCCGCGGGCGCCGCGGGCGGCGCGGACCCCGACCGCGGCGGGACAGCGGCCTTCGTGGCGCGCGGTGTCGACGGCCGTGGCGCGCGGAAGCCGAAGGCATCGCTGCTGCTGTGGCTTGGGCCGGAAGGTGAGTGTCCGATGCTGATTACTGTAAAAGAGGGGAATCAAATGGCCATGATGAGTTGTGTAAATTTGGGATCCTTGGTTGTTTCCTTCCTTTTCTTTGTGTATTGAAGGATGTTTATTATATAGTTCAAGTTAGCCATGGGACAGTCTTGATTCAAGGGGCCGATGGCAAAGTTTTTGGACGTCGCCGGCCAAGAAGAATCGGAATCCTCTCAGAATCCGAACCTTTGTTGGCCAAAAGCACTGGGAAGGTGACGTGAGAAGCTACCAGGAGGTCCATATGTAGTGCTGGGTAATATTGGGTGTGCATTAGAATAGGGTGACCCCCAAAAGACCCCCGTGGAAGACGGAAAGTAGACCACAACCCCAAGGCTGGGGGGGGTGCCCACTCACTGCCTCTCACTGCCTCCGTCGACCGCGTCGACCGGGCTGGTCGAGCGCTCGCGAGGTTGGTGGTGATTGCCTTGTGGATCGTCGACCTGGTCTTTGCCATGGACTCGGTGGCCTCCAAGCTCGCGACGGTGAATGACCTCTACCTCAACGCCGCAAGCTGAGCAAAGCTGAGCAAGGGGAGCGGTATGGAGCGTTGAGGGGAGTTATTTTAGATTTGGAGAGTCTCCTCAGATTTGAGTCAAACCCCAAGTCCGAAGAGTTTTCACTTGTGAGTGTGTGTGTGTGTCTTTTTAACAACCACTAGGAATGCCATCCATTGCCCAACAGAAACAAACCATCATACACCAAAACATACCAATACCCTCCCCAAAATCAAGCCAACAGTTGGCTCCGCACGATCTGTTCCAGGACGTAGATCTGTTCCAGGACGACTTGATGGGACCAGATGGGAATGGAAGGATCAGATCAACGGTTTGGTTTTGGAGGCCACATGCCAGGGCCCAACCGGGAATTCACCCCCTGAAGGTCGTTCACATGGGTTGCTCCTAAACACTTCGTTCTTTCCCTTCAGTTGGTTGGAACGGTTCTTTTCGGGGTCGCCTGGGCTGTTCAGCTCGGCTCCCAAAGGTCGCATCGGCAGCCTTTGCAATGATGGGACTGCGGCTGCTTCGGTGGCACGTTGGGCAACCGGCCGGAAGCGGCAAGCTTCGCTTAGAGTGAACGGTGGCGAGGTGCACAGTGTGGAGGAAGAAGGTGCTGCGTGGTGCTGCAACGGTTTCGGGCAAGTGTGCTCTTCAATATTCAGTTCCTTTGAGATGTGGTTTGTTGGTTCCCCTGGCGTAGGAAGTAAAGGAGGCCAGGTGAGTGGCCTCCCATTGTTTGACAAACCCTGTGCCTAACACCCAACCTGGAGGTGCGAGAGCGTCTTGTTCAGAACAAATTTCCAGCATGAACGATATGGCTTCATTGGCCCCAGGTGCTTTATTGCTTTGGGTGGAATGTTGTGAGTGTAAAGCTGAACGATCCGCGCCATGGGATGTCATTGTCCGGATGTTGAGGCGGCATTCTGAACAGGAAGGACCTTACCTTACGAACGGAAGCGAGGAGGGAATGACCCCCAACCAACAAGGACTTATTGTGGGGATGTCTTTGAACCATTCTGAACTGAACCTATGGTGTAACTCAGCCACGGTATTCCTTTTCCGAGTTGAGCTGCACAGGGTGCCACCATTGTTGTCGGTCGAGTTTGTGCTTATTTGATGCACGGTATGTGTTCTCCACGACTGTCTCTCTTGAGGGATTGCTGCACATGCCTTTGCGAACGGAAGTTGCAAAAGGCACCAAGCAATCAACTATAATTTGATCTCACGAACCCCACATCCATCCACTCTGGCTGGGATACCTCAGCACGGACACCTTCCTGGGCTTGCAGCAGTATGTTGCAGGCTCATCAAAAGTATACATGGTCCATACATGGTCATAGTAGCATAGAGGGTTATCTAGACGAATTGTTGTGTTCCTTTTGCCTTTGCGGAGAAGCTCAGGTCGTTGTACTTTCTGATGGAGTCCTTGGTTCAAAGCTTTCATATGCTGAAATATGGCATCGCAGCTATCCTGGTCCTCATTGGCCGCAAGGATTTGATTGCATCGGGATTTGGGATTCTCGGGCGGGCTGGGGCTGGGATACTGTGAAAGGGTGCTCGTTTTGCAGATCCTACGGCGTTAGGATCTGAGGGAGGACACGAGGTTTCTAAACCTAATTGGTTTGTTCTATGCGGTTTGCACTTCCAATTCCTTAGGCAAAAGGTTCATAGGGTTGCTGAGCTTTGGACAATGTCAACATATGTCAACCAATGGGCCAAAAACACCGGGCCTAGGTCACTCAACGTGGATCTCGCCATGGATTTTGGATTTCCAGCGTTCACAAACAACAAGTGGTCTTCCTGGAAAAAATGTGGGTGTTGTGCTGGAAATCTTCACAAAGCTTTGCCTCAGCTCAGGCCTCAAGATGGTCTTCTCCGTGTGGTTTGAGATTTCCAACAGCCGCCCGGCCCAACAAGACACCGACGATCTTCTTGGCGCATGGCAAGGCTCCGTGGTGCTTTTCCTTCCCAAGCACCGGGTGCTCAAGCGTAAGTGTAAACACCATAACCGCCGACCTGCCCAATCAGCGGACCATCCGTATGACTGGTCAACAGGACTCCACTTCACGACCTCAGGTGACAATCCTATAACACCCGAGAAAGCCAACTGAGGAACCTCAGGTCTGGGTTCCTCTGTCCAAAACAGTTTCTGAAACTGCAAATCATAGCAAAGATGAACATGTCGGCAACCTGCACCCCGGCCAGCATGTGAGACGGTCGTCCCAAGATGTTCGCGAAAATGGTCGTCCTGACTGTGATTGCAGCGGGGAATGTCCTGGTGGTCCAATACCACACGAGAGGTTCTGGGACTTGCTCATATGATCACATATGGCTTTGACCCCTTCCTTTCCACCAAGTAAGCTCACCCAGTTCTGTGTTTGAGGGACGGCCCAGAACCCTCCAGTCCGGCCGATGGCCGGGCACTGAACAGGTGTCACTTTCGTTTTGATTATCGCAATTTGCAACTTGCTTGCAGTGGTGTTGATCATTTGTTGTGGGTGGGCTGAATATGGAAAGACGATTTTCCAGACACTGTATGGCACGTTTACCTACATTAGGGCGGTTTCAAGAATGTAAGAAAATAGTCCATAATTTCCATACATGATTATCATATATTATCAAGTGGTTGATAAGTGCGCGGGTCTTTTCAACCAGCGTTGAGAGGGTCAGTGATCAGCAGTCAAATCCCCTACCTATTCTGCCGCTAGTATTCGGCCAGGGCGGCGGTGCGGCGATTTGGTGGGCGGGCTCTCCGACCACACGGTCAGTCGATCGAAAGACCATGGCGATTCCTGACAAAAGAGCAGTGGCGATTCTCAGATGGAGCTGTTTGGACATCTGCTCCATTCCATCCGTTCCAGAAAAATGGCAGTCGATGGCAATGGATCCGATCGAGCCCGTTTGGACATTTGATTTGATCGGTTAGATCTTCTTGGCAAACCCCAAAAGCCAAGAATGGAAGTGGGCAATCCCTTATTTGAAGAGGAGAGTTCGTCGTCTTCCAAGGGGGCCGTTTTCACTTCCGTCTCCTTTTTTTTTGCGGCCGGCTTTGTCTATCCGCCGCGAAACTGTCATCGTTTGTTGTTTCTTCTTTTTGACTGGATGTGAATATGATGCACCTTAGGACAAGGGATGTACGTATCAATGGCGCGATGTGATGATTCTGATGGCGTCGTGGGTGCGTACGTTGAACATGCTGGACACTGAAGCGGCATGAAACATCCTGAAACCCCTGCTTTCTTGGGCGTTCAGGGTGGTGGTTTTGGAATGTCTTGGAAACCGGTTCTGTGTTTGGTTTTGTTGTTTTGGTTGTGTTCTGTTGCAGACCCCGCGCAAGAGGGGGGCCGTTTGGGGCCTCTAATTGAAATCATCCCTTGAAGATAAAGAATTATACCGGCATAGACCCCAGATAGCACTTCAAGAAAAGTTGGACACCATGGCAAGAGCGGGAGACAAGCTGGGGAGACATCCCACTCAAAGCCGGGAAAAGGATGGAAAAGGAAAACAAGACCTAAATCATCTCATAACAGCATCCGCGTCAAAGGCAGGCAAGAAAATGACAAGGCGGCAGCGGCAGCCAAGAGCGAAATCATGAAGGGAGACAAGCCTGGGAGACAAGCCGGCAACGGCAGCGGCAGCGGCAGCCAAAAGCGAAATCATGAAGGGAGACAAGCTTGGGAGACAAGGCGGCAGCGGCAGCCAAGAGCGAAATCAGGAACAGAGACAAGCTTGGGAGACAAGCTGGCAGCGGCAGCCAAGAGCGAAATCATGAAGAGAGACAAGCTTGGGAAACACGGCGGCAGCGGCAGCCAAGAGCGAAGTCGGGAAGGGAGACAAGCTTGAGAGACAAGGCGACAGTGGCAGCCAAAAGCAAAATCATGAAGGGAGACAAGCTTGGGAGACAAGGTGGCAGCGGCAGCCAAGAGCGAAATCATGAAGGGAGACAAGCTTGGGAGACAAGGCGGCAGCGGGAGCCAAGAGCGAAATCATGAAGGGAGACAAGCTTGGGAGACAAGCTTGGGAGACAAGGCGGCAGCGGCAGCCAAGAGCGAAATCAGGAACAGAGACAAGCTTGGGAAACACGGCGGCAGCGGCAGCCAAGAGCTAAGTCATGAAGAGAGACAAGCTTGAGAAACAAGACGGCAGCGGCAGCCAAGAGCGAAATCATGAAGGGAGACAAGCTTGGGAGACAAGCCAGCAGCGGCAGCCAAAAGCGAAGTCATGAAGCCAGACAAGCTGGAGAAACAGGATGGCAGCGGCAGCCAAGAGCGAAGTCATGAAGGCAGACAAGCTTGGGAGACAAGCCGGCAGCGGCAGCCAAAAGCGATGTCATGAAGGGAGACAAGCTGGAGAAACAAGATGGCAGCGGCAGCCAATTTCCGCAATCCGAAACCCATCCATTCAGAAGTAAGAACCCTTATAGCTTCCAGCTATCTGGGGAAAAAGACACTTGCGGTGATGCCCAGGAGGTCGCTCATATATGCTACCAACACAAACAAGCACGATGCAGTCAGACATTTGCTGCGTGAGTTGGCATGACACAACGACAGCTGAAAAGGCTTTACTGTGAAAAAAGTTAGTACTGTATATTTTGTAAAGATATATATATATACCGTATATCTGTGTGTGTTGTATGTCTGTATAACTAGGCCGTATGTTTAAAGCAACAAAAGTGTGCGCCGGCGCTCCAAAAGCACTGGCAACTACATGTGTTTCCAACCACCAAACAACCTCTGAAGTTCACACATGTAAAACCACTGAAACCTTCAACCTGACGGTCCTTCAGCCCAATGTGCTTTTACAGAAATACCCGCAGCAGACACCCGTGTTTTTGGGAGTGTGGAAATGATCCCGCAAGTCTAAGCACCAACAGTTGGTTTCCTGCCTCCAACGGGATGTGAGTCACACGTGCCTCGCCACTCATACAAAACACAGGTATCGCCAGCGCCGTGTCCTCTTACTGGTTGCCTTCAGTACGCCAAAGCTGCACGGCCCTTGTGGCGGAGGAACCGTACCGGCCTTTATAGTGGAGAGGGGAATCCTCAGATTCTTCGAGTCAGATAGCCGGTGGAGGAGGTGTCCCTATTGTTCCCTATTGTTTGCTCGAGACGTGCAGTGAAATCCCAGTTGTTTGCCTCCTCTCCCCAGCAGGGATGGATTTAGTGTTCAGTCCATGTGGGTGGCTAGAACTTGCCCACCCTTCGGGTCAAAGTGGCAGAATGTTAAACATGTGGAAGAAAATTCAATAAGGACTCCTTGGTACATTTAGGCAAGCCTATGGCAATAGATTCGCATAGACTTCCATGATTGTTGGAGGGTAATTGTCCACCTATGGAAAAAGATGCCAATGATTAAATCCCAGGAATGCATCACATGTTGCTCAGAATTCATTCATAGACATTGCTGTTCATCGAAGATTTCAAGACATGAATAGATCAAATAGCTCTAGAACTACTATATAATCATGAACAGATGGAATAGATTTCACTATATAATCATGCGATATCATGCGAACATGACCCACTCAGTTCTATCCCTTTCGCAGAGCTGCAGGAGGACAACCTCGAGACCCTGCCGGAGGGTGATGGCCGAGAGGGCCGGACCAGCTTTGAGGAGGTGGTGCCTTTGCCGGAGAAAGCGACGAACTCGGCCCATCCGAAAGAGACGAGCTCGGCCTGTGTGCCCCGCCCTATTCCTCCCTTCGTTTGCATCAACTCGAGCCCAAGGAATTGTAAGTTCCCTCAAAACTTACTCCCCAAAAGTCACAAGCAGAAGCACATTCCTCAAGCATACCTGGCACGCCAAGCGTGTTGGCCACATGTGTTTGTTCTCGGTGCGGTCGCTCGGGCGCTTCAGCGACGTGCTTCAGGAAGAGTTGGAGCCCATGACACCATCCAGGCCGAACAGTTGGCCGATGTTGGCCGTCCCAAATCGCCCGGGTGCAGAGAGACACCCGGTCTCAACGAAAGACAAGATGGAGATTGAATGTATGATATGTATGTAGGTGTGAAAGCCTAAGAGTATTAGGAGTAAGGTATATATTACAATATGAAAGCCTCCAAACCTCTTCCAAAATGCAGATTCGAGCGGTGCAAACGATCGACGGCCCGTGGTCTGCAGACCTGTCCAGTTAGAGGAGGTAGTTACAGAACGTCACACCTGTTAACATGCTGGTACACACGGGTGGTCAATCCGTGCTTCCCACTCCAAGGCATAGCTTCGTTGCACTAGCACCCCCTTTTCGATCCTGTTTGTGTTTCATGTTTAAGTAGGACCAAAAATCAAGTAGGATTGGGATCATTCAATCCTGCCTTCAAAACTTCAATCATGATGCAGGTCTTTGACTTTCTCATCCAATTTCGTGTTTTCAGGGCAGGTGTGAAACCGGCCCGTCAGGGGGCCGACCATCAAAGTATTCAAACGATACTGATACGATTACTTTTTGAATACCCGCGTTGACTCCTTGCCCCGAGGGGACAGTTGATCTCATGAAAGTTGACCTCATGATGCCCTGCATGGCACGTGTCCTCGGAGGCCGGTGGCGATGCCGGTCAAATTCGACGACCCTTGAGGGCAGCGAGGCCGCGGATGAAGCAGCGGGTAGCGTATGGGGGACGCACAAGGCCAAGCGCGAAATGGAAAGGTGCACATAGGTGCACAAACTCAATCAAACAGTTTTACCACAGGGTTTGGAAGAAGCAGTAGCACTAAGCATAAGTAGTAGGAGTAGTAGCTGTTGTTATAGTTGTAGTAGTAGTGCTAGTAGTGGTATTTGTAGCAGTATTTGTTGTTGTTGTTGTTGCCGCTGCTGCTGTTGTATGTGTTGTTGTTGCTGCTGCTGCTGCTGTTAAGTAGGCAAGGGTTATGCTTTGTCAGTTTAGGGGGTGGGTGCTCTATTTTATTTGAGGGAGTGAGCTGCGATGTTAGTATTGTTTTGTCCGTGTTTGTTGCTATTTAATGGCCTTCGGCCAGGTCCGCCGCCCCAGGGGGGCTTTGGGCTGCAAGAACCTAGCGGTGAGTAGCAGGATTGATATGGACAAGGTCCGGCATAGGATAAGTTTAAGATAACCGTGTTTGTCGCCGATTGATTACTCGTTGTGTTTCATGCAGCAGAATCCTTTCGCAGATCGCGAGGTCCAGGGGTGAGGAGGTGGAAAGGTGATGGAAGGCCGTGAGGTACACACAACTGTCCACAACACACGTATTGCCTTGGCATGAGAGTTGGTCAGATCGCGGCTGATGCAGCACAACCTTGCGGAAAGCATTTGCTTGGAAGGGGGGGAGGGGGGGTGAAGTCAGCGAAACGAAAAATCCGCGCCAAGGAACGTTCCAATCAAGCTCAACACCTTGACAAGAAATCATTACAAGCAACCTTCCACGACACGCCTCGCCTCTGCGCGTGACAGAGGGTCGGCGGATTTTGTGTGCGTGTCCTTGTTTTTTGTCGTGTTGTTTTTTCCGTTTTTTGGCTTTGTGTCGTTATTTGGCTTTCATGGCCTGTGGGCCCAGCCTTGGACAGGTCCAAGTTGGAAGTGAGTTTAGCATTCTATATTTGAGCGCTGCTGAACGGCTTTCAGGTCTAAACTTCGTTGTGTGCAATGGCTGGTCACGTTTGGGACTTGGACGATTTTGTTTGCCAAGCGGTGCTGTTTGCAAGTAACCTAGCTGGAGCCAACCATCCAGCAACTCAAATCCAAGCAAACCGGCAAGCAAGCCACTCGCAAGCAGCAAAAGGGAAGGAAGCAAGCAAGAAAGCATGAACAAAGTGTGAACGAGCAAAGGAATGCAGCGAGGAAGAACAATGGAATACAGCAGAAAGCCAGCCAGCCAGACCAGAAACGAAGGAAGGAAGGAAAGGAAGGAAGGATACGGAAAGCCCTTGAGGAGCTGCGCCCCCCACCAAAATCCTAGCTTTCAACCAACCAAAGCAAAGCTCAGCCAAGCAAGCAACAGAGCGATCAAGGGAACAACCAAGCCAGCAGCGAGCAAGCAAGCACGCACGCATGCAACAAAGCAACAAAGCAACCAACCAAGCAAGAAAGCAAGCAAGGATGAAAAGACGGCTTCTGATGGATCAGTTCTTGGTTGGATTGTTTGGAAGGGCACTGCGCCCTTCCCCCAACCCGAAACCAGCCAAAGCACAGCGCAAGCAACTAACCTAAATCCCAGCAGACCAGCAAGCTAACAAGTTAGGAAGGAATCGAGCATGGAAACAAGAAAGCATAAACGCAGCAGTGAATAAAAGAGTAAAGGAATCGAGAAACAAAGCAAGAAGCAATGAAGGAGGGAAGCCTGGAAGCAAGGAAGGAATCAAGGATGGAAGGTATTTTCTGAATCACTTCTGGGTTGGTTTGCTTTGGGGGGGAGGCACTGCACCCCCAACATGGAACCAACCAAAGCAAAGTGCATCAAGCGAGCTGCAAACACCAGCGGAAGTCCATTAGTGGTTGCCCATACTGCTTTACGTACCAGCATGAGTTTATATTTATATACTGTAGATGTCCTAAGTCCTGTCAATACGTGCAGGGGGTGAACTCAAGGCACCCAGGGTGCTATGTGTGAATTGTGGCAAATGATTTGTGAACAAGTTTAGCAAGTAGGTGTTTGGCTGAACATGTGTTTGTAGGTCAACCACCTTCCATCAACCATCATCAACCGGATGATGCCTCGTGGATAAAAAGCTATGGCCGCCAAAACATTTACCCACCATCACCTTTGAGGGGTCGCCAGTCAACTACCCTACACTACACAACTCGCTGGATTTCATTTGGCAAAACTCTCGGAGCACGAGCCAATGTCAGGATCACAGTCTGTGTGTGTGTCCTAGAGGCAATTGATCCCTTATAGAGGACCTCACCCACTTGTGTGGACAGGGCGTTTCCACATGCAAAACGGTATTTGTCCTTACTCGTCTTCGACCAACGAACGGCCCCGGGCGTTCCGCGCTGCCGTCAGGAGGCGATGCCCGGGAATCGCGAGGTCGCCGAGCGGTCGCCGAGCGGCGGTGAACCGGTCACAAGCTAAGCCGCTCTTCCAGTGTCGCCGTTCCACAGGTTGCTGATCAGCAAGCCAACCGATGGAGTTTGATTTATGGTGTTCTGTTTGTTCTGTGGGTTCATTCTGGCCAATTTGGCTTCAGGGATTTTGGTGGCTCGCAGGCTGCCCTGGGCCATGGACTTTCCAACAGGATCAGGATCCCGGAACTTCGTCTATAAAATCGGAGCACCTTTCCGGTGCCTGGAAAAGCTTTTTGATACAGGCATGTTGTGACTACATAGCTAAGCTACTGGAGGTCGGGGGTTCCAATTTTATAGAGATGTTGATGTTGGGGGTTCCAATTCTATAGACAGTGATATTTTATATGTTTGAGGTTGAGTGCTTTGATTCTATAGAGGATTATATGTTAGACAGACCAGCAAGATGTCAGTGTCAGGTGTTCCGATTCTATAGAGGCCATTGGCCTCTACCACTCGCCTGAACCTTGGGTGCTCTAATTCTATAGGTCAGACATGTCAAGAATCATCCATCTTGAAACCTGTTGGATCTGAATTCTATAGAGATGTGTCTTTGAATGGACCTTATGATCACTAATTCTATAGAGAGCCCCCATCAATGGAGGTTGGGTGCGCCATTTTATGTCTATAGAATTGGGGATCATGACCTCCCCACTTAATTCCAAGGGGATCCAACAGGTGACATTTCACTGTCGAGTCGACGTCTACATGAGACTACTAGGATACACTAGGATCAACTAGTTGATATTGTAAATGAGACTACTAGGAGATTCTAATTTATAGTTGATATGTGTCCCGCGGGACCGGTTCCTTCAGCGAAACGAACCGCACGGCCGAACCAGGTCGAACCTTCGCACGAAGCCTGGGACTGATCGGAACAGGAAAACAAGTCGAGCCAAGGATACACACTGAGGGCACTGCCTGATACTCCTTCTAGTCCCAGGTGGTCGACGGAATTGTTGCACCGATGTTCGGTGCAGGTTTCTACACCATTGTTGAGTACTAGTTACTAGTGTTGACCTGATCATCATAGATAGTATAGTATACCACCCCGGACGAAGAAGCAACGGTTCTCTATATATGTCTCTCTCAATATATATATATATAATTCATTACAATTCTACCTGGCTGGCTCTTGTTCCAGTGGTGGAGTTGCAGTTGTGGGACGCAAATTGACCTTGAACCTGGATGAACTCGAAACATCTCGAAACAAATCAGTTTTCAAAGGTCCATTCGAACTTGTGGCACGTGCGGTGCCTTGGGTGAAAACGGATGGAACTTGTGACATGGATCAACAGGATGAACACGGAAGAACTCTTACCAGGCTTCGTGTTGAGCAGGCTTGAATTCACAAGCCCCTAGTGGCAGCAACAGTCTGAAAGCTCATAATTATTGCAGAAATGCTGCGCGCTGCAAAGGGGGGGCTGAAATGCTGGGGAGATTTTGGTGGACAATATGGGAAAAGACATGATACTGCATTTGTTCTTTGGAAGTTCTTTCCACGTGTAGACCAACTGTGCCGGTTAGCATCCCGAAGCATGTCCTCAAATTGACGGCTGTTGTGCAAAGTTAATTCAAGCAGTGGACCATCTATATACAAGGTTAAACATACACTTGCAGCGGAATCTGGGGGACTGACGAAGTTCTATTGATTTTCGGGAGGCTACCGCCCTAAGATGTCCAATCCCGCCAATAGAATATATAGTCTTGTGGGTAGAGATGTCCTTCTTGATTTGGGATTGGTCTGAAGATGTTCGAACATTGAAATGACTTGACTTAAGTTTTCCAGTACAGGGTGGACCTTCCTGGGTTTCGCTTCGAACCTGACACATATTACTGTACACAACTGCTGCATTATTCTCGTATCAAAAGCTTGGGTCTAAAAATCCCACTTGGAGGGCACCACATTACACGGCAGTACTGATTTCCAGGATTGCATCTTCAATCGCCTGTGTTATATAAGTGTAAATGAACCATTCTGCCTTGATCTCGTCGCTGCCAGGCAGCAAAACCACGTTTTGGGTTCGCTTTACCTTTTTTTCCTTGTTTTCTTCTCCTAGCAGGAATTCCTTTTGTTAGAGTCTGTTGGGGGACATGTCGGGTGTTCTTTTCCGCGTGCTGTTTGTTTGTTTGTTTTGTTTCGTGTGGGTCACTGAACCACTACCACATAGAACCCACAGTCCACTCTGAGGTCCATGAGACATGAACAAGAACCCCCACCATTGCTAAGAAATGATAAGAAATATGTTTATTTACCTGCACCGGGGGGCAAGTTGCTCATGTGTCACCCTCCAACCTGGATTTCGCCAACTCAGGCAAGCCCACCCTCCACGCTGCTCGGAAGAAAAGAAGGAAAAATCGGCAAATCCAACACATGAGTTCGAATTCAACAATCCAACCAACAAGCCAAACGTGAGAAAACCCGCCCACTAAAGATGTGCCTGCCCAAAGCTTCGCATGGTTGGCCATCAGGCACCCCAACAGATGGAGGAGTGGAGTGTCACGCCCAAAGAGGCGCCGAATGAACATCAGACACAACTTGGGCCGACAAGTCGCT